TGTTACAAATATTCTGCTAGACATTCAGCAAGTTTCTTTCCTACAAGGTCAGAATGAATGCATCACATTGCGTGACGCCTTAAAATTTCGGTGTAAAGATTATTATATTGAAATGCCTCATAATAAGTTGTAACGTTGCAGGGTGTCTTCACAGAATAATTATTCGGCGAAGAGTTGGTTCTTTACTTTGTTGATACACGATTTGCTTACATTTTGAAAACAACCTGTCCCGTTAAGAGGTGAATTATTCCTTCACCTGAAAGCTTAGAATGCTGTAAACAAATATTCATTCAACATTAAAAAAATCTGAGTTGTCGGCATATGATTTTTCTACATTTTGAAAACAGCCTGCCCATGATGACGAGGTGAATTAGTCCTTCACGTAAAAGCTTAGAATATCGTAAACAAATTCAACACATCCCAACATTTGGGCAAATTAGGTTTATATTTCGTAACTTGAAAATTAAGGTTTGCAAAAAAACATACGCAAGTCCGCTTAGGAGTAGTCTAAATAATCAACTTACTATTCCACGATTGTTGTAGTATCACAGTTTCATTTCCCAGGGGCAAGAGCTAGTTTAATAACGTTTAAAAGCAGCAATCGTATCCCAAACTTCTTGATCGTCTGCTTTTTCGCGTGGATCGAATCCGATTGACAGCGGGGCACAGAGTCTAATTTTAATTGGCTTACCCTGGAGGTGTGTTCGGAGGCGCGCCCTATGATAATTTGCATGAAACAAAATACAAATTCGCATAACCAGTGACTGTTTTCTTTCTTGTACTATCTATAACATTGTAAGCCATCCTCTTTTCTTGACTTTATTATCTGGGTTTTGCTATTGATCTTTTTGTATTCGAGTTTACACCACTATATAATTTTGAACATTGGTTTAGATTGCTCTCAGCTACACTATTTCACATGGTATAAGCACGCGTAAAACATTACAGGCCAAAGCAAAACCTGTGTAATATACAGATATTAATGTAAAGAGGATCCGGGCATCAGGTTTTATTGGTTTTTGGAAGATTTTCTCGCCGAAAAAAAAAGTGTTACGTATCCGGTACTAGTAGACTTTCTCAGTCCTTTGTGGTGTGCTCCTTTACCTCGCGAGTCTTCACACTCGGGATTTGAGCGTCGCGGACATTTCTCTTGATCCAATCAAACCGGCTCAACTTTCGCAGCTCCGCTTGTGGAGTCTAGGTAATGTGCTTAATTTTACAACACCTCAACCGACTTTTCAAGTCTTATCATCCAGTGACTACCTCCAAAACTCTGAATTGATACAACAAAACTTCAAAATTATCAAGACGCTTTCAAAATTGAATATTCTAGCGCTACCAAGGTCATAAATAAACTATAATCGAACAAAAAAGGCAGTAAATCGAGGAACAAAACGCTCAAACACTTACGGTATCATATACAATGAAATCACTGAGAATTTCGTTGACAGGTAACTAATCAAAACTTATACAGTTAACTCACATACACACCTCATGATACAGCCTCTACAAAATCTATGTTCACCATTGGTTCCAGTTGCATTTTGAGGCTCCGAACAGCAAATTGCGCATTTGTTGTCACTAAATTCCATTGTGGTTGAATAAAATCTACGGATAGAGGAAAGTGTTCTGCTTTAGGGTAAATACTTCAGTCCAGGTTTTGAATAAAAAGGAAAGTCCTATACTGCACCGCTACGTTCGTGAATACCTAATATCCGCAAAGTTCCCCCACGTCTCAGTTGAACTTTCGTCTGACGTTTTATCCAATCAAATTGCGTGACGTGATTTTCACGTGATTTTGATCAAACAAGATGTAATTTGTGGCGTTGATCATCAACGTGCGGGAAGAGTCGTATTCAGTTTCCAGTTATTTGTTCCTTTGGAAAACTTTAACTCGAAGAGTGTTTTTCGACAACAGATGAAAGCTGGCTTTATCCAGCACAAGTCTGTGATTCTTTGTGGAATTATTCATGACCATGCATTGATGCCAGCACCCTCTTACAGCCTCGACCGCTGGTAATATGTGCATGGCTTGGGCTTCGGGCTGCCAGTTGTTTCATACGGAAGTTAAGTGTTGGTTTTCGACAATTTTCGCACTGATCGTCGCAGTAGCAGAGGAATAGTGAACGTTTTTTTATTTGTCAGCGACACCATGAGCCGCCATTAATACGAGCGAAGTGGTAAAGGTACACGTTGGTTTATAGTTGTATTCGATGGAACGCTTTATCGCAACATTTCGCTTTTCTACTTTGGCTATGGAAGAACTGCTGAAGTGAACAAAGTTTCAAGTATGTATTCAATATCTCTACTTATTATGTCATGATATCGAAAGCTTTTACGGTGTCTAAAACTGTTCCTTTGAAGAGAATTCTTAGCTATCAAATGAGTTTGTTTGTATACAAGTTATTTTCTCCTTGATCTCTCTAGCGAGGATTGCCACTTAAGTCTGATGATTTCATAGTAGTGGCTGGCAGCACTTTCATTGCGGCCAATACTGTACTTGCTAGAAATCGTGTTTTGTAAAACCATCTATGAAACACACTGTGCATGCTCTTACAACTCTATGTTACAAATCTTCAGCTAGACACTCAGCAAATTTCTTTCCTACAAGGTCAGAATGAATGCATCACAGTGCGTGACGCCTTAATAAAATTTGGCCTAAAGATAATTCTTGAAATGCTTCATAACAAGTTGTAACGTTGTAGGGTGTCTTAACAGATAATTATTCCGCGGCGGAGAGTTGGTTCTTTGCTTTGTCGACACACTAGTTGCTTACATTTTGAAAACAGCCTGCCACATAAAGAGGTGAATGATTCCCTCACGAGAAAGCTTAGAATGTTGTAAACAAAACTACATATTCAATATAAAACCAACATTTGGAAAGTTTAGGTTTATATTTTTTTATCATAAAAGTAAGGTGTCAAAACTGAAGGTACTTCGCAAGTCCGCTTAGGACTATAGTAAATAATCAACGGATATTTAAAGATCAGTCTATAATTACTGTTAGTTTATGTCTAAGCGTCTTGCCAAAAAATAGTTATGTTGTTGTTTGTCATTGAGTTCGCTTCACGAACAACATAACTTTTCCAATCCAGTCAGTTTAGTTTACATGATCTTAGTTCGAATTTTAAATTCCCTGAATCCCTAAGGAACCCTAATTCACATCCTCTAATTTGAAGTCAACTTGCAGAGTGCACTGAATCCAGAACTGGAGTCAGTAATATCTTAAGTGAAATAAGTATTTTTTTTAACTTTAGGCATTGTGGTGATCTGAAGTCTTGGCTATCTAGGTGCAAGTCCAAAAAGTACGTCTTATTCTTTAAATATCTCAAAGGGTAGAACATTACGTTGTCAAAGAAAATAATTCCAAGATTGATTTTGCTATCACAACTGATTGTCTGCTTATTCGTGTGGATCAAATCAGACTGACAGCGGGACACACAGCCCGATTTGAATTGGCTTACACTGGAGGTGTGTTTGGGGGAGGCGGCAGTTTTGAGAACTGAGTTTCGTAGCCTGCGAACACAGACGGATTTCCAGCTTTTTCTGGCATTGGATAACAAATCTTGAAGATTCGGTTGAAGTGTTGTAACATTTTAGCCCATTACCTAAGCTTTCCACAACTGGAGCTGCGAAAGCCGAGCTCAGAACGAGAGAAATATCCACAACGCTCAAAAGCCTTCAGCGGAGTAACACTGAGGTCATGCTGAAATTAACATCACATAAACAGCGATCCTAGTCACCACAATTTTGCACAAAAGACGCATTATAAACGGCCTCATTTTCTCTTGAAATGAAATATTACGGATGTGAGTAAATTTTGAAAACAGGCTGCGAATAGCAACGCGAATTACATTGTCCCGAATTATCACAAAAGCTACACATGACAAGTTTACACCAATAACTTTTACAACAAGGTGAATGAATTGCATCAGATTTCCGTTGATAAATTTCCTCGGCTTTTTTGCTTGTTGACTGGTCGATTCTAACACTTGCTGCCAAATGGTCAAGTTAGTTGAAAATACAATCTCAAAGATAAATGTTTACATTTTTTGTACCAAACAGGCAACTCTCTCAAATCGCTGATTTCGAATCATTTTTTCCGGCTTGATGCTCAGACGTAAAAATATAAAAATACCCATTTTCCTCATAGTCCACTTTGACATTGAACAATGATTCTGCTCGCTGCTTCAAGTGAACTTAGATTCTTACTGATATTTTTAAGCTTCAGTTTTGTGTCAATCATCATGTACACTTCAGAGCATACTCATTCAGTGCTCCAAGAGTCAGATCAGACTCAGTGAACATGAGATCAACAGATTCAGCTGGAGTGTTTGTATTTTTGCAGATTATGGTTCACGTGATCTTGCTTCGATTGTTTTGATTTCCTGAATTTGACAAACCAAAAGATCTCCTAATTTGCACTCTACTCAGTTTAGAGTGTGGAGAATTGAGAATTGGTCAGTCATGTTTGAAGTAAAATATCTTTTTAACTATTATGAAATCATGGAAAAAAGGTCCCCGTAGAAAACGTTTCTCAGTCTTCGTAATCTTCAAAAACTTAAACGAAACAGCTAAAGAAACGAAATCCAAGATTGATGAAGTATCACACAGCAAGAGCTACCGTTTCCATGGCGTGACTTGCAAGTCAAGTTAAGGCCCGGGTGGAAACCGGAGAAATGCCTGTGACATTTAAAACTCGAGTGCGAAGAATGCGAGGAAGANGCTCGCTGCTTCATGTGAACTTACTAATATTTTTAAGTTTCAGTTTTGTGTCAATCATCATGTACACTTCAGAGCATACTCATTCAGTGCTCCAAGAGTCAGATCAGACTCAGTGAACATAAGATCAACAAATTGAGCTGGAATGTTTGTATTTTCGCAGATTATGGTTTACGTGATCTTGTTTCGGCGATTGTTTTCATTTCCTGAATTTGACAAACCAAAAGATCTCCTAATCTGCAGTCTACTCAGTTTAGAGTGTGGAGAATTGAGAATTGGTCAGCCATGTTTGAAGTGAAATATCTTTTTAACTATTATGAAATCATGGAAAAAAGGGTCCCCATAGAAAACGTTTCTCAATCTTCGTAATCTTCAAAAACTTAAACGAAACAGCTAAAGAAACGAAATCCAAGATTGATGAAGTATCACACAGCAAGAGCTACCGTTTCCATGGCGTGACTTGCAAGTCGAGCTAAGGCCCGGGTGGAAACCGGAGAAATGCCCGCGACATTTAAAACTCGAGTGCGAAGAATGCGAGGAAGAGAACCACAAGTCTGAGCTACCTACAACAGCATTATGCCGAAATCGATGCTGCAATCATGTTGTTGTGTCGCGCTCCAATAAACAGCAAACCAAGTCAAACAATATTTCAAACAGGCAAATTGAGATATTACTGATATGTGTCACGGATAATAAATCATGTTGCACGTCTTCAAGACAAAAAACCTTGCCAGCCAAATGCTCAAAATTATATAGTAGCGACGGTGAAAAAACGAGTAAGAAAAAGATGGCATACGGGTCGATAGTTCGAAATTAGAATTTCGTCGACACCCAACTAATTCAAAAGTTTGACTCGGTTTACTCGAATTGGCTTTGAAAAATGACTATTCAAACGCTGCACGACTTTCTGTACTAACTTAAAATCGAATTTAAAAAAGGCAGGGAAAACAAAATAAAGAAAAAATGGAATCGGAACCTCGTAAACAACACACTCGTATGCAGAAATGGTCTATTGTTCCGGCTCAACATCTCACTTTGAACAAAAATGAATAGGCTTTTGTTCTTGGTAGCCCTCAGAGACTTCGTCCGAAGCCAAGCCTAAATCGTCGCCGTTGTTCGCAAAACTTTCGGCACAACAATTAAGCTGCACTTGAATGAACTCAATTTTAGTTAACAAATCTAGAACGGTGGAGTCGTGATTCACAAAAAATACGTTGAGAGTAAAGCGAAAATTATGAAAGAGCGGAGAAACGCTACGCAAAATTCTGATAGAATTAGCTCATTCAAAGTCATACCTCATCAGGCAGTCTTTACAGAACCTATGTCCACAAGTTGTCTGGTGTACGGGCTCTCGAAGCTCTAAATAGCAAATAGCGCATTTGTCGTCGTTTAATTCCAATGCCGTTGAATAAAATCCGGGGATGCTGGAAGGTATTTTCCCGTAAGAGCCCATATTTTTGAATTGAAGGGAAATATATACTCCAAGCGGACCAGCTCTTGTTCACGCCAACGAAGTTGATCAATAATTTATTCACGGTCAAGCGCGAAACTTTCAAAAATTTAGAAAATTGAAACCTTGCTATTTATAATACTCCGGAAGTTCATGGCTTTAAAGAAATTCCCACCAATCAGTGGCGTAGGTATTGTAACACCTACGCCAAAGGGTAAATCGAAAGCGGTTGTATCAATTTTCCCAGAAATGTTTAAAGAGCGAATCGAAAGTGGATGTATTTTGTAGGGTCACTTGAGAAAACAATTTTAATCAGGCCTAGAGGGATCATCAAATTGCGGTGACTAAAATTGCGGTGTCTTGTTCCGTTTCCAGTTATTTGTTCTTTTGGACTGATACCTTTAACACGAAGAATGTTTTTCGAAAACTGAAGATAGCTGGTTTTATCCAGCAGAAGTACGTGATTCTTCGAAGAATTATTCGTGACCAAAATGCTCAAAATTATACAGTAGCGATGGTGAAAAAACGAGTAAGAAAAAGACGGCTTACGGGATCGATAGCCTGAAATTTGAATTTTGTCGACACCGAACTAATTCAAAAGTTTGACTCGGTTGACGGCACTCGAATTGGCTTTGAAAAATGAATATTCAAAAGCTGCAGGACTTTCTGTACCAACCTAAAATCGAATTCAAAAAAGTCAGGAAAAAATAAAGAAAAAATGGAATCGGAACCTCGTAAACAACACACTATTCTAAACTAATTAAAAATTCTGATACCGGTAACTCATTCAAATCGTACCTCATCATACAGTCTCTACAGAATCTATGTCCGCAAGTTTTCTGTAGTACGGGCTCTCGAAGCTCTAAATAGCAAATAGCACATTTGTCGTCGTTTAATTCCAATGCCGCTGAATAAAATCCGGGAATGCTGGAAGGTATTTTCCCGTAGGAGCCCATATTTTTAAATTGTAGGGAAATATATACTTCAAGCGGACCAGCTCGTGTTCACGCTAACGTCGTGGCCCCTAATGATTATTTTACGCTTATTGTTCTTGCTATTTATACTACTCCACAATTTCTAGATAGACAGACCTATTGATCATCGCTCGGAGAATCTACCAATCAGTTGCATAGGTATTACAATGTAAACATTGTAATGGAGATGGCGCGCGTTTGACAGAATGAGGTCGGAAACCAATAT